TTGCGGTGCACCTATCGCCCTGTCTATCCCAAACCTATCTCTGGGTCATCATCTTCTGGGGGCTAAAATCGATAGACTTCTTGGCACTGAGCTTCTTCCTAATCACCTAGCTGCAACAAGAGAAATAAAATCAAATGGACAGAGGAATTGCCAACTCTGAGACATATTATATGGGAGGTTTACAAATACTGCTTTATTTCTTTTCCCCAGGACTCAGTTAATTGCATAAACTGTCTGATGAGCAAATGAAATTAGCAGCAGTTTGGGAATGTTTGTGTTTTACACTTGAGCGTTATCTGTTAGCCCCCGACTCGGAGGTGCCACTTTCTCGTTTTCTCCGTATCAAAACATAGGGTGGGTGGACAGATGGACACTGGGAAACAGCTGGAGTGGCCAAGGTCCTTCCCGAGGCACCCTGGCTCTGCAACACGTCGACTCGCTAAGCACAGGGAAGGGAGAGGTGCGGGGCGGAGAGGAGCTGCCCGCAGCAGCCGAGCAAGCTGGAGGTGGTGCTGGGATTCGAGCGCCGTTTCCCGAGCTGGAGCCTGCTGGATGGGGGGCTCCAGTAGTTGCCTTTGCCGCAACCTCAGACAAACTGCCTGATAGTAATTTGTGGTCTTTAGATACTGCTCTTTGCTGTTTTGCTATTAAATAATATCTTTCTCTGTGCAAGCCCACGTCTTTGGTAGAACTTGCACAGCTTTACTGAAGGAGCTCGGCTCTGGCAGCTCTCCTTTAAGGCAGCATAAGCCATGGGCTGAAGTATGTAGGAGCTGAGATTTTAAAGTTAACACGAGGATTTTGAGCCCCTTAGTTGCCTGATGTGGGTCTGAGTGGTTTACTACAGCTTCTGAGGCTGAGGGAGCTGTTGCAGCGCCTGTGCCTCCGCGGTAGCTGTTGTCGACCGTTCCCTGGGGATGCTCTCAGTCAGGATGCTCGTTTTTGAGGTGCTTTAATTCGTATTGCTGTCAAAGTAGTACCGAGTCAAATATGGGAAGTGATGCTAAAGGAGGTCTGAGGGAAAGACCTTGTCCTTCGCGGGGAGTAAACCTCAGGCTCGAGTCACGTAGCTGATTCTGGGGCAGATATTTGAAAAATCAGCTACTATTCCTGTCTACAGCGGGAACCAGACCTGCGTATTTTGAGACGATCTTCCTATCTGCAATTAGACGAGAGCCTTTCGAGACCCTATTTTTATATATTCCCTTTCCCTGGAGGAATGTTTAGATGAGATGCAGCATTACATTTTACAGGGAGATCTTGCTTTTAACCCAGTTTTAGAGGGCAGTTAAGTCAAGTCAAGTGCCTTGCCCAAGACTGGCAAAGAAGCTTGACCTCAGCAAGATGATTCTTTACGCCTGTGTTTTTGAACCACATAGCACAGCTCTCAACTTCTTAAATTTGTTTTCTTTTTTTTCTCTTATGAACCTTTCTGACAGAGTGTTGCAGAACAGCATGACTTTGCTCTTAAGAAGCAGAAATAACTTTATCTTCATAAAACGATTTGATTAATAAGGCTTGTATTCCTGTACTCGCTGCTAATACTTTCTCAGTGGGAGGGAGGAAGCAGAGACTTTGGGGAATGCCCTGCAGGATCAAGCATGGGCAGCACTCAGGTTTCAATCTGAATAATACTGGTATTGCATGAGACGGCAACTTTCCCTTACATTAAAATCAATGAACATGCTCTGAGTAAATGCCTGCATAGACATTTTAAGAATTACTTAAATGTCCAATATTTTATACTCTTATTTTACCTCCTAATGCACCATAATTGCACCGTGGTCTTTAGGATTCTCTCCTATGAACTATTTATTCAGTTGCGTGAATATGTTTCTCCTTACAAAGTTTTTAAAGGAAAATCTCAGCCCAGCAGTGCTAAATTGCAGCAGCAGCAGCAGACTTTTGGCAGGTGCACTGTCTTGATTAATACTTAGGGTTTTCCTCCAGACATCTGGCTCCTCTGAGGCTGCGTGCAGAGCGTATAGCAAAGTGAATACGGAGACAGGCATTACCCAGTGATTCATGTTAGCTGAGGACAAAGAGGAACATTTGAGCTAGAACTTTGCATACATTGATTATTATTAATATGGCTTTTATTCTGAGTTGAGTCGCATTGAGTAAGTTAAATGATTAGAGTGAAG